ATGGGCAAGGGTTCTGCTAACTAAATAGTGGCTACATAGAACACAGTCCTTCGTTTCATTTTGAAATTACGCTAGAATGTCCGGTGTAAAGCCAAGGAATTTGTTGCCCTGAGACACATGAGCGTGGCTCTGCAACAGTCAGACGTGGACAGCTTCAAAGCCATTCTACTTGAAACTTGGCGGTAACCTTCCGGTCATGGAACCCCTTCGTAAGATTCGGAGAATATAAAGCGATACATGATGAGGATATATAGGATTTAGGGTTAGGGTGTGCCACTTCCCCCAGCTAACCTGGAGTCCCACAAAGCACTCTGCTGAAAGGACAATACCTGTAGTCAGTATAGGGCCCCTCTCCAGGTTGCATTCTCATCATAGACGCAGGAGACGGTTCCTATGTGCTTATTTGCAAATGGGGGAGTGGACAAAAGCCATGGAAGCTGATAACAACATTCAATCGGGATGTAGCGGGCAGGCAGGGAATGGAGTAAGGGGATATAGGAAGAATTCCAGGGATCTATCTGCCGGGTTGTCTAGAGATTACAGTAGGGATCCATTCCCGCGTTCACGAATCAGCATGAGCTAAGCAATGTGGGAAAACTCGAGAGAGAAACATGTAAAAATATTAGGCAGCTGGACAGCATCTTTGCTCAACTGTCAGGCCTTCAAATTGTTTTATGCGAGCAGAACAGGGAGGGCATGGATTATGTGTGTGACGTATTTCCTGCTCGGCATAGACAAACATGGTCCATCGGATGAAGTCGGCTACCCTGTTTTGCAAGTGCATTGAGGGACCCTTGAGATGATCGTCACGGAGCTGGCCACCGCAGGCGGATACAGGACTTAAAGTTTGTTGCCCACCACCAGGTCTTTCAAAGTCTGCCAAAACTGTGAAAATCTGAAAGTCTTGGACCCCTTAGCGCCAACCATGATCACCCAGGAAGTGTGCGGCAACAAGCTCGGGGGTCTTTTGACCCCAGAGCTCCAGTTCGGCGTGTCGATCCTCGTCGACTCGATGGGTCGGACTATGCTTCGCACACGGATGAAGCCTGGGCAGGTTAGTTTCACAAAAAGGGCTAACCCGGATAGGTTGCAGGGACATATACGGCTTGGGTGTAATTACGATTTGGGGTTGTAGGACTCAGGGTTTGGGCTTCTGGCTGACAGGAATCAAATCTGGGTTTTAGGGGCTGATAGGCTTCTAGGCTTATAGAGTTCAGAATGGATTTCCATTTTGGATTTCAGGTAGGCCGCTGGGCCTTTTTACTTTTGAGACTGTCGTCTTAGAAGCAGCATGTAGAACTTTCAAAGTGTCGCGTTTTCGCAGCTTGCAGGCTTGGATCATTGTCGGGGGTCCTGTGGACATGCTGTCTAGAAGTCCAAAAGCGTGATGTTGCCTCAGTAAGTGTCATCAAAGTTGTTGCTTATCTGAGTGGTGCCACTCAAGCGCCTTTCCCTGCAGATGAGCTTCCAAAAGGCATGGCCGGGGAAACATACAAACACAAGCCAGATGAGCTTCGGCCTTGCAATTTGGGAGCGTGATGGAGCTCGCGATGTACAGAAGCAGCTTCTAGCTACGTTGCAGCTGCACAGGCAGCTGTCTGCAAAGGTGTATGGCCAACACTCTCTCATCCTTTTGGGGTGGATCGACAGGTTGTAAGGTCTCTGTTCTGGGTACTGAGTAGGGGGTGCAGAAGACAAGTTCTTTTCGGTCATCATTCAGGGTTTCGCTGTGGTATGGCGCGCGTTACTTTTTCAAGCTTAACTGCGTGTCGTGAGGTCCTTCAGTATGGTATTTAAGTCCCTCAGTGGCCTCCGTGGTCGTGTTGATAGTGGAGATTTCGTTCATGGAGCGCCGGTCTTGTATGAAGATAGCTTAGCAAATTCATAATCTAAACTTTGAAAAGCGGGCCAAACTTACCGCTGTCACTATCATGTCATTATCCCAACTGAAAGCGTGAAATATTGGGATGATACGGAGCACACACTCTCTTGTATGTCTCTAGTTGTTAATATCATTCGGCCAACAACTGGGTAGCTGACGTTTCGACGAGCAAACGAGGAATGTACGCAAACCAACTTTCTTCAGGGAAGTGCGGATTGCCTGTTAGCCGGAAGCATCTGCGCTTTTGGAGCCCTTTCTTCCTGTATCCTTTCATGTACCCTCATCTCCTCGCTGGTTTGGGGGTGGTGATCGTGTATAAAGATGAAGAATCGTCCTAGGATGGTCCCTGCACACATGTAAAGCGGTACATCACGAACATACTAATATACAGGGCTGTCAAGAATTGCACGTAGCTCTTGTGGTCATTGTCCGATAGTGGATAGGGGGAGATGATGTAATGCCAGCCACGAATAGTGAAATTCCGGACTCCCCAATAACAGATTTTCTCAGTGCAATGGTGAAATTATTAGCCGGGCTGCACATGCATATATATATATACATATCTTATACATGTTGTTGTTTTTTTGGGGGGGTGGGAGTGGGGTGTTTTGCTGAGCGAGGACTTGAGTCATGTAAACGCTAAACCGGACTTGTTGCCTTGTCTGATGCTCCGGCCATGCGAGTTCAACAGTTTTGAGAAGCCGCTTCGAGTGGTTAGGAGTTATCTAGGATACTTGGTGTAGGGCTTTGGGTTCAGAGGGGGCTATTCTCTCACAGATTCCGAAACTCGAGGGAATCATTTTGGGCTTTGCAGGCATGGGTATTCTGCACGTATTGCCCCCTCTAAAGTCTAAACCCTACACCAAAATCTTACAGCCTAAAGATGACGCTTGGAGGCTTTACATAGCTGTAAGTCCTACACCCTTAAACAACCTAAACCTGGCCTAGGAAGTTCGAAACGCGGCTGCGCATCCTCCGAACGAGCTGGGCAGCCCTGGAGAGTGTTTTGGGATTTTAGAGGTTAAGGGCTTCGGATGTCTGTAGTCTCCGGGGGCACAGCGTTTTGCAGGGTTCCCAAACTTACGGGTCTGTTTTGGAAGTGTGCTTTACGGGGCGTTATCCCGGCTTGAGAATGCCCGTGAGTTTCCAAAACTGCACCGACGTCATAGACTATGTGCTAGCAAATGGGTGTGAGAATAGAGCAGTGATCTTTTCTGTACTTAGGAGCTTGTTTCTGAATGCACCAGAACCTGCACTAACACGATCCCATGCTACCACTACAACTACTACAAACTTCTTTGACACAGGGTACGCCTGAGCACGTGAGAGAGAAAGAGAGGGAGATCGGAGCGAGAGGGAGCGAGAGAGCGAGAAAACGAGAGCCTGCAAACCTGGCGAGCTCTGAACATTCATTACAGCCAATTACAGCCTAACCGTTGGACATCAAAATCAAACCTCAAGCCTCAAACCCCAAAACCAAAACCGACTCCACATTAAACACGCATGAAACCCACCAGCAGGAGCATGCAGAGAGTGAGCCAGCTGTGGACAAGCCAACTGACGACATCGAGTCCCCGCTTTCGCCTGGCTCGCCTGCTCATGATGAGAAGGAAGAGCCACAGAAGCTGGGTGCACGGTTCAGGATTTAGGGTTCAGGGTGTAGGGCTTAGGGTTTGGGGTTTTCGAGTTTTCAAGCTGGAGGTTTGGGCGCGTTTAGGTGTAGCGTTTACGGTTCCACGCTTTATTATTTGGGGTGTAGCGTTCATCATCCAAAGCTTCATCTAAGCAAGCAAGGACTGACGACAACGCGCCCGTCTCGGCCAGCGAGAAGAGCACCGAGCGCAAGCGCCGAAAAAGCTTGGCCAGCGTAGGACAGAGGTATATGGGTTGTGGGGCCCTCGGGATACTGCAAATCATAACGACCTCACCCATGCTCACGCCACATCGTTCCACGTGGCTACATAGGAGATTCTAACATCAGTATGTGTCATTGCCAACAGGGGGTATGCTGATGCATACATGGGTTCTAGGGCTTACCGTTTCGGCTTTAGGACTTGTGGGAGCTTAGTCGGTTACCAAAAGGTTCAGACTGGATATAGCAGGGTGTGTGTATACATATATATATATGTATATCTTTAAATATCTATAAATGTGGCACATCTGCTTCCGCCATGCTAGCGTGTTTATGTCTGTAATCACAGAACCCGCTCTTTTTGAACATGTCTATCTGCTTGTATACGTGCTTACGCATAGGCCCAGAAACACCTAATCCTTGAAAGCACCCGAAGTATTTTGGCGGCAAACGTAGGATCCGTTCACGTGCCACGCTCCTTCCATGACATGGCGCCTAGCCGCATTGGCTTCTCTGGGCTTGGTTGGTGTTGCTGAACTTGATAACTCTGGGACCTGCTTCTGCATTCGACTACTTTGGTTAAAGATCTGTAAATAGCATCCACCTTGGCATTTGCTCAAATAAGGAAAAAGATTTTCACGTTTTATCCATGTTCGGTATGACCTCTTCACGAACTAACCGATTAGGAGGTTTTCCAAATCGGCTTAGGGTTTAGGGGGTATGCTATAAACTGTTGGACAGTAGCCCCGGATGTGTAGGAGGCTCATCCCTTTGTGCTCCCTATATAGTTGTAGCAACCAACACACACACACACACACACACCAACCACCATCAGACCCTAACGTTGATGATAGAGGCTCCTACACTGTTTACATCTCCGCACGCAGGAAGCATGTGGCCGAACATTCAAGTGATAGCCAGGATATGTCACACGGCTCGTCGTCCAGTTGACACTGGTTACTGATATATGGGTATGCATGTACGTGATGTAAATGCATGTGTGAAATTCGCACTCGTAGTTCGTATTGCGGCTTGCTACTGATGAGTTTCTGCAGAAAGCATTCAAGTAATCATACGTCCGCTTGCTTGAAAAGCACAGGTGCTATTCAACGCCTCCGTGATGAACATGAGCGACAACGTGTGGTTTGAGGAGCTTTGTGGAAGTATGTGGGAGCTTGAAAATACCACATTCTGATTCATTAAAAGCCCGGCATCCCTCAACAATGTCCGAACAGCATTTCCTCAGCCCGAAATCGGTCCCTGAGTTCGCTGTGCGTCTGGCGGGGATCCTGATAATCAGTCTGGTGATGCCCTGCGGATGCGTCGGACCCCCTGATATACTTCTAGCACAGCATTTCCCAAAATAGATTTTTAATCCAGGCCCCGCTTACAGTCCCCATGTGCACCCCTAGATAATTCCGGCTTCCATTTTTCCTTTTACGTTTGATTCCCCGCTGTAGTTAGATTGGTCCCTACATCATTCATTATTAGCTGCGAAGCCGGTGCTTGAAGCCTCTGAAGCCTGCACTTTTCCTTCGGGTTTAGGTAGGGTTTCAGAGGATTACAAGCCAAGCTGGAGGTCATGCCGGCATTTCCACAATTCAGGGTCCCCTTTCAACCCCGAACAAATCTCTGTTTGCTAAACTCCCATCCAAAAGGTTGCGTGGTTTATGAGACCCCCCGTGCAGGAGATGCTACAATCCATCCGCGCGCTCGTGCCAAATTGCGGGAACATCACAAGGCTGCAGGAGGAGCATGAGGGATTTCAGTGAACTGCTCTCAAAGACATAAAGTCACCAGACCATGGATATTGGTGTAAATACAATGATTCCCTAAGTCCCTAAGTATGACAGTAGATTTGTTTAGGCTCCGTACCTGCAACCTTGTAAGGGAATTGGAAACAGGTTTCTTGGCGCGTAGAGCATTAAAAGCAGTTCACATTGAGTAACGCAAGATGTGGGCTGTTGGGGTGTACGTACCCTTTTGCTCGAACTGCTGAGGCTGCCCACCCTCTGGCTGAAGTGCAGTGGTTATCTGCTTCTCAGCAAGAACGTACATAATCTGATTTTGAGACCACGCACTTGAAGCAGGAATGCGACTTGCTCAGCCTGGCGTTGGTCCACTATGAACAGGCGAGTCGTCTCTACTAGAGTGTCTTAATATCGCCCATTTACAGTACACACTTGAAAAGTGTCCCACCTATGAGGAACTCACGAACCTGTGCACTATGTCAATTCTCGGAGTTGGGCGTTTGAAGTCATGAGCGCCCTGGTTTAATCGGGTGCGGGGCCCACAAGGCTTGTTGCAGCCATATTTAACTACTGGTAACCGGCAACCCCAAGGGTCCAAGTAACTTGGTCGATTGAAAGGATGTATTGAGGAGGGTCCTGGCTTTCTAGGT